CATCCAGACATAGAACCTATTGAAACAGTAGAGGTAAAAAGAACAGCTGAGCCTGCGAAGTATATTCGATGTTCATAGACAATCCAAAATGAGCTCCAACGGAGATGAGACCGAAAAAAAATGTGAAAAAAAGTGTTGAGGTAATAAATAATGAAGGTTTCGGCCAACGAAAGGACTCAAAAATTGTTTTCACGTAGAAATGTGGTAGAAAAAACCCGAAGTTTCCGAATAGTCAAGTCTAATAAAATATCTGAGATATTTCAATTCCAAGACGAAAACACATCTTCGAATAGAGTAATAACAATGAAAGAAGCTGCATGAAGTGTTGATGAGCTGTTGGAGGGCCAAGAAGAGCAGGGGGATCGATCGGAAGGCGATGAAGCAACGAAAATAGCGACAAATTTCGCACCTCCTACGTTCATCGTTTCGGCTCTCCCCTAATTGGACTTGACTCCTGAGTCGAATCACCGAAGAACGAGGTTTCAGCGAACCCTCGCGAGCAAGAACACTTAGAGTTGGACCCCCTGCCTCTGCCCCAAAAATTTATCCCGCATACACATTTTGAGGTAAACGAGACAAAGGAATGTCTATAGTACTTCAGAACTGGTTCGAACCGATGAACGAATAAAAAAATCAGGAAAATTGGATGATGAAAATAAATCATGGACGAGTACAGGCACCGGGGCGCGGGTTTGTTTCGGGGGGACCGTCATTGATTTTTGCCATACAAAGCAGACAAACACCGACAATAAGCGGGACTGACCACAGGCTGGGTTGCCATGGAGCACGGAAGTTATTATGGAGCGCCGCCGCCGCGGTCAGTCGCTGTCGCTTTCAGCCTCGGTTAGATCCTCCACGTGACAATACTACTACTACTACGTTTCCTCGGTCCTCCTCAGTAGTTCGCTTTCAATCGCACGTCCTCACCAGCACACCCTCCCTCCCTGCCCCTTCGGGTGCTCGCGTCCAGTGGTTGCGTCTCCGATACACAGCTGGGCATGGGGACGAAAACCTGTTCCTCCCGATGACGATGAACGACCCTGCCGCTCCACCCGTCCTCTCAACGTCAATCGCATTCCATACCGATTTTGGATTCCTGTCACGCAATCGCTTTGCCTCGAACATTATCGATCTCTACCGGCTAGATGTTATTGATTTTAGATGTACTTTTCATTTTTAATTACCCCGCAGTTATCTCGATAGAATCGCCAACGTACTGGTCATTGCCGGCAGCTGTTAGAAAAAGAAACTGCTATTTTTAGCCCTGTGAGCGCGCGTCTCCATGTAGAGAAGCATATAGCATTTTTTAGGACCTCTACTGCACTTTCTGAGCAAACACATGTTTTTTAATCGTTTGTTTACGTGTTTATTCGTAGCAGTTGTTTTTTTTACCCAATATGTTTTTGTAGAGACATTCTTCAACTTACTTCCTACCATATACAGAGTTGTTCTGCAAATTGGTCTAGACAGTGAGCTAACTGAAAAAAGGCGCCATCAGTCGCATGACTCCGGAGATCGATCCCCTCCTAAGCCAACCTGTCAATTAAATGCAATCTTCGATGATACTCCAAAATTCACCAATGACTATAAGGTTGTTTTTAGCTAACGCCGTCGTGCGTGTCCAAATGTGCTTTTCGAAATTTCTGCGATTGATTAGTTGGAATAGTGCTGGCCATGCCACGACGCTTTGGACTTATTTCTTCCGCATTTTTGTCGCTAAGTGGAGAAGTATTTTGGTAGGAATTTGATGCGAAATGCTCAAAGAGCAGAGCATATAGACATATCAGTGACACTGGACTCTGCATAAAGAAATCATCCCGGGGTGCGCCATGTACTCGCCGTCCAACTAAGTTCGTACAAGCAAATGACTCCGTACCTGGCTCTATAGAAGGAATTATGGGACCTAAAGGTCATAAACGAGTCTACAACAATTTTTGCCATCTAAAAAGGTTCGCAAAAACTGGTGAAGCTCAGTCGACTATAGAGATCGGCTGGCCCCCGATCTACGAGATTTGATTTAAGGGTTTGACTGCGACGCCTCTAGCAACTAACTGGCGACATGCCCTATCAATTACCAGCAGATTAGGAGTCGCTCATTTCACGTAAACATTGCGCATTGCCAAAATAACCAAATAAAAGAAACTTCTATTCCATCGATTGATCGTTCGAATGCTGAACATAAGAGTCATCAAATGTTATTCCCCAAGAAATCGATCGCTTAATGACGACATCGGTCGTTCGAGTTTCGTCTTATTCCTAGCATCCTAATCTTCCAATCTCCGATTTAATCGACCCGTTTTTATGGATCAATGAATATTTCACACGCACAAAGGCACGTGCGCTATTCACAAGGCTCTATTATGAATAGCTAACCTTGGACGAGTTCGATCAATTCGCTTTACAGCCCCTCCGACGACATTACGTGGCTCATGTGACTCTCTTACAGTTTCGCCATTTCAACTTTCCCTGGTTTTATTATAAAGAATTCAATGAACAGTTTATGCCTACGAATAAAGTAGAACGGCAAGAGCTCGATGTGAACTGAACCCTGTCTGGTGCGCCATGCATTCGACTTTTGTAGAGTTGCAGTGCAAACGTCTGAGTTCACGACTGAAGCCGAACCCTGCCTAGCAGAGGCCACTAGATACACCACGCTGATTCTTTCCCTTCTATAACACCGCTCCTATCCCTTGGGCGACCCGAGTAAATGAAGGGTTCCGTTGGTCTGGGAAAGACTTAATTTTGCCTGGCAGGATCTTTGGAAGCATGCCATAACCAAATGAAGCATTTAGTGTTAGGAACGACACTCACACAGTATACCCGTACAGGTGTTGGAGCCCGAAAAGGACAGTAAGCTGATAGCTGTTGGACATACACTACCATCGGGGAATAGATTTTGCCCCAGATTCACTTCAGAGCCATTCCAAGGGAAAATTCGCACTATGGACCCGATAATTATGTGATTGTTATTTTATAAATGGATGCTCTGATGTTCATTTCACTTAATTCTTCGTAGTGAAGCATGTTTCTTCTAAACAGGATAACTGGCCCTCCCAAACACAGAAGCTGTTTCGTGACTGGAATAAGCCGTGCGCAAAACCTCTTGTGACCTAAGAATTAGCTCAAGCACACCCCCTTACTAGTGAACGCCCTGTAATAAGCGTTGCTGGCCATTGGCGCGGCTGTCTGCGTCTCGAATCGTCCTCTCCACTCCCCTGTCTTTTTGTTTGGTTTCTCTCCCACGCACATGGTATTTCATCACCAAAAGCTCAACCACTCTTCGAAGGCGTCCACAAAAAGAAGAACTTAATTTGGTGTGATTTAGATGGTTTCACCTTCCACTAGCGAGACTTTCAATAGATGATTTTTTATTTTTGATGCCACTGCAAATGCGCCTTGCAATGCGCGCCTACCTGGGCTAGTGCGCCTTCAAGGTCCTATAATATAGTAAACACCCTTGTAGTCGATCACCTGATGCAACAGGAGGGTAATTTCATTGTTGGCATCCTATTGAATAACCGGTTGCGTCCTTGGGACGAGTGAGGTCGCTCTCAGGCCTATTCACAATTTGGGCGCCCAGCGAGGCTTTCACCTTGACAAAGCTTCACTCCTTGCATTTTAGTGCTATATGAGTAAAAGCACCTCTGTTTTGTTAAGATAAAGCGCTTCTTTAGTTGGAGCGAATTCCCTGAATAATTCACAGCACGGGTGGCGTTCACCCACAACAATCTATGTCCTTCCTGTGGATTTCCTTTTTTTTGCATTTGATCAAGGTTTTTTTTAAATATTCCAACTGTTATTAGGTTGTCTCATAAATAGTGGCCGTGTATTTTTTTCAACCAAAAATTTTCCTTTAAGAAATTGTTCTGTCCCCCGAGTTCCTCAATGTCGATCCTAAATTGTGTATTAACATGTGAGACTTTTCAAAAAAATTTTCATCTAAATTCCCATGCTTTTACATCGAGTCATATACCATTCGAAAGAGAATTGTCTGCTCTACAAGAGATGTGTTCTTCTTCCATCTATGTTCCATGGTTTTCAAATTTTAGGCCTGCGAAATGGGAGGTCCCGCCGACAAAAATTGACCAAACCGACAACTAGCTCTAACTTTATGTTCCCCTCGGAGAAATCAATCAATGATGTACCCTCTACTTACTCATGACCTCTTCTGAACATTCCACCCTTAGGTTGCCGAAAAAGGTTTGCCCTGTTTCTTTTCGAATTGGCCCAACCGATAAGTCATGGCAATTTTCAAATTGAAATTCTTCCTCTGAAACGCTATTGTTTTATATCAACTGGTGTATCTTTTGTGAGCACTTCTTCTGCTCTATTCGCTCATTTGTTTTGTTTCAATGTTTGTTAGGAATTTTAGGTGTTTAGGAATAAGGTGTTTCATTAGCGAAAGTGACCGCATTTCTTTGAAAAAAAAAATTATTCCTGAGAAGATGAGAAAATCACACCAGGCGTACATTTCCTAAACATAGTCATGACTTGTTCTTTGAAATTCTACCTAGGTTTTTCTAATGTCTCGGCTATAAAAAAATTTCGACCTAGATCTCAGGTAATGGTGCTTCGACCGTCGAGTTCTGGTTGAAAAACCAGGTCTGGAAATGGAATGACGCGACTTGTTGGGAAACCTAATAGTGTAATGTCAGTAAGTAGAGGGTACAGTATTGATTGATTTCTCCCAAGGGAAGATAAAGTTAGAGATAGTTGTCGGTTTGGTCAATTTTTGTCGGCTGGACCTCCCATTTCGCAGGCCTAAAATTTGAAAACCCTGGAACAGATGGAAGTGAAGAAAATGATACACACAACCGTCCTTCGTACGAGCAGAAAATTCTCTTTCCGAAGCGTGCGTCCTGACGAGATGTAAAACCTGGGGAGCGTTAGAACAGAAGAATTTTTGGTTTGAAAACAAAGCTACACCTACTTATGCAGACAACCTATGTTAATTTAGCATAGCAAACGCACGGGGTGCAACCTATCGGGTGGGCCTGAGAATGCGAAGATGGGCAAAGTCGGTGGCGCCTACATTTAGATTAGTGAGCTGTTAAATATCTCCAGACAGGTCAAAGTCGTGGCGCATCCCAAGAATAATCTTTGCTCCTCTTTATTCCAAAAATCAACGTCCTCTTAAGTAACGATCAACATTTTTGCGGTCTTCACTTTTTTCAGCCCATACTGTTCACTTTTTCAATGCACACACTCTTTACCTTTTTCCTCGATTCCTCTTGTATTTTTCCCTTGATATGCCCCTTGTTATGTTTTTGTCGAAATTATGTTTTCCATTTTCAGGCGTCTTTCAGGCCATCTGTCATTCTTGAATCTGCTGTGATTACTCACACCACATGTTGGCTCCATTGGCTAAGAAGTAAGTCACATCATCAGAGGCACATTTACGTGATAGAAGGGTCGTAACGAATTAATTACCCCTGAAAATTGCGAAATTTGGGTAACTAGTCCAGCGGTGATGGAAGAAAGTGGAAGACTATTTGATAAAACTTAAAATCGCATTGCGCGCCGATCGCCGGGGTGGGGTTTGCGCTCCGCTCCGTAGAAGTCTCATTGATGATCCCGTTTCTACGGATTTTACCGTAGTATAAAACGGCCGACCATTGAGGCACACGTAAGGGGAGAGCGCAAATCTAGACCATGGGTGCAGCGAGCTATGTATGCAGTTTTAAATTTTGTAGCACTTCTATTGACTGCTTTCGTTAGGTATGGAATAGTTACCCAACTAAGTTCATTTTTGGACGCAATAACCCTTACCTGGTTGGTTGTGGGATGGGCCTTTAGGTCCATTTCAGGTCCAACAAAATGTTATTGTGCAAACTTATTCCTGAAATCAAAAAAGTGGAATGATAAGTTCTAATAACCGTCTCAGAAATGACGGCCTATTGTGTGAGAGTGTTCGAGATGATTCTTTCGTCATACTTCGGACTTGAACGCCATAGAAGGAGAATAGTTATGGGTTAATGGAACAAGTTTGCTTTTGTTTCTCATGTCCGATCGTGTCGTAACTACGGACTTGGGAGCACATAAACAAAAGGTGGCATCAGATATCATCAAGCAAGTCAAAAAAACAGAGCAGTATAATTCCTGTTGGAGCCATCGTCACATGTACACGTTTATTATTCTGAAATTACGACATGGGTGGCCGCATGAAACAAAGTGCACAAAGTGAATGAAAAAACTATAGGTCTTGTTCTATGTATTATTAGGTCTTTTACCTATGGTGTCCTTTTCTGTATAAATAATGAGGTTTCATTTTTTAGGAACCCCCAATTTCTTGATCCGCAGGAGACCTTCGAACACTATGAAAATCGAAGTCGTCCAACCTCTTCACTTTCCTTCGAACCTATAGGTAATAGCCTGTTATTTGCTGAATTAGTTCTTTTATTTCAATTATTTTATTCATTTTTCATTACTAATTGTATATTTATTTATTTATATTGTACATTTTTTATTTACTGCATGCTCACCAAGATCCGAAAAAAAATATCTGGAACCATAAGGAGAACAACTCAGTCCAACAAGCCGCTTTCTCATATGCGCCGTGAACTTCGTTCAGCATCATAATTCCTGTGCATATTGGCGCGTTTGTTGAACCGCTCATACTGAGACTGTGTGTAAATCAGTGCCTTCATGCTTTAGCACGTGCTTGGGGCCTCCATGGTGACATACCTTGCTTGCCCTGTGAGGGCTGAATCCGTGATCATAGCGGTAGCTGCGCCCGCTCCACGTCATCTGTTGTTCCAAACTGCTTCAAAGGCATATGGTAGGATAAGTTGATCGCCGTTAAAAATAAAATTAGTAACAAAATGGTGCCATAGCGCAGAAAAAATCGAGGAAAACGGCTTGAACCCTAACCCGCAGAATGGGCCCTTGTTTTCCTCCAATGGTTTCCGGCTTGGGCAGTCTGCTAAAAGGGCTGGAGGGCAATATTATGGACCAGTGGAGATCGGAGGCCAGCACAGGCACGAAGGTGAACGGAGGAACGAGTGAAGTATCATTACGTCGCTTCGAGCGCGTTCTTCACTCAGAAAGCTCCGGTCTCGATCCCAATGCGGCTCGCCCACCACCAACCTGTATGGTTCGTGTATGCGATTATGAACATATTGTTTCGAAATAGACTGAAAGAAAAGAAGAAAAAGGAGAGAACTTGCCAAAAATCTCCAAGGTCAGGATTTGATACCGTCGTATTGCGACTGTGTAAAGACAATGAAAGACTAAGCGCAGAGAGGAGAGTATGAGTCGAGAGAACGCAAGACGATAGCATGTTGCAGGTGACTAAATGAAGCAGATGAAGCTGTCTTTGCAAGGTCCAGCGTTCTGAAATTTCCACGGACGGAGTGCCCACATTTGTGGTTCTTCTCTAGGGTTTTATACAGAATTCGAACGGTGAAACTCCAGTTCGGGGGGGCCACTCCATTGCTATCTTATCCGTAGTACTAGAGAGCAGTTCTTTGGGCTATCGAACACTACGGATAAGATAATAAGTGAACGACTCATTTCGAGCGTACTTTTGATAAGGACCGGTGGATGTCCTACATTCCACACTACCTGCCCACATCCCATCCACTTTTCTGCACAGGTGATCCACCCTGGAGCTCCTGCACCCTTAGCCCTTTGCGGAGGTGTCCTTTCTCCTGGTCCAGGACCGTTCCCTTGGGTCATGGCAGGCGGAAATGTGAAAACGTTTCAGGGTTTCTCACCCATTACACCAATATTTATCAGAAGTCTACTTTAAATGAGTCGATTACGTGTCGTGAGCCCTCTAATCCTTATCTTGAGTATTGGAGAAAAAATGGAGTGCCCCCCCCCCCGAACTGGAGTTTCACCTTCCGAAGGGAATCGTTCATTCGTGTTCCGCCTGGGCTGCGCCTTCACCATTAAGTATTTCGAATTGGCTGTTTCGAACTTAAAAAGACAGAAATTGGACTGAATTGTAGAGAACAAAACTAAAGGGAGAACTACAAATGAGGAAAACAAAAAAAAAACATCAAAAACAACGTGTCAATAGGAGGAAAGAAACTTGTTGAAACAGTTGCTAAAAAAATTGAAAAAGAGAACTCTCATCGGATTGTTCAGTTCGCTTATCTCTGCCTTTTCCCTACTCTTCTCCTAATCTTCCAGACTAATTTTCATAATGATCTCTGATCAGGAAACATGTAAATTGAAAAATGTTCGTGATTTCAGGCTCTCATGGAAGGCTAGCATGTGAATATCGAGCCGCTCCTCCTCCATCAGGTATGATTAGGTTCAAACGCTCCGAAAAAAGCACAGATATATTTGAATATCTCACCTCAAAAAATATAATAATATAAAATTTTGAGCAAAAGAAATATGAAAGACGCCGGGATGTGCATGTTATGAGGGAACAATTTTCTCAAAAGCACCATCAAAAAAAAAGAAAGTTCAAAAATAAGCCTGTACAAACCACTATTTCAGCTTCTCATGGAAGGAACCAGGGTGAAAATCGTGTCGAGTACGTGGTCGCAGAGGTACGACCCCCCCCCCCGAAATCGAGATCCTGGCACGACCCCCTCTAACAGAGCAAATTAATTCAATTAAAATAAATCCTGCAAAACAAATCAAAAAAAATTCTGCAAAATAATGCTAAGGACGCTTCATCTTGTCATCTATGCACGTCTTCCATCGCTGCATACTTTTGTGTACATACTGAAATATCGACTCGAGGAAAGAGGCATTAACTTGTGTGTGACCTCAAGGCGAGGTTCGTTCAGAAACGCACAGAAATCCTGAAGACACGGGGTTGCGATTCAATCTTGATTCTTGCTTGAGTATATCAAAACAGCCGAGTGTATCAAAGGCCGATTCAACGGCAGCTGCGGCGCGATTGTCACTGGGTCAGATTTGCCGAAATTTCAAAAAAAAAACGTCCGAATCTACACCCTCGATGAAAAGGTTGCATTCCTCCATTTCACAACCTTTGAAGCAGCTTGAGGTAGAGTTAGATAGAGCTGGATTTCGCGTTTCCAACAAGCATCGAAATTGCTCTGGAAGCCTTCCTTGCAGAAAGATAGGGTCTGTCAAATTTCGTCGAGTAAATGTCGAGGAGGCCCAAATTTTCACGCGAGTTTTTGCCACTTCAAGAGCAATATATCTCTTATATTGTAAGATCCTGAAAAAGGGAAGATAGTTTTGGAAAGCGGAAGGTTGCGCTTCCTGATGGTCTGTTTAGTTTTCTTCTACAGCTTTTTGGTTGAAGAGATAATTGCGTCGAGGATCTATCGAGGTCGGATCCGGCCACCTGGAAATCCGCTCCCTCATTCACCATTGCAAGTGTGACTCGTTGGCAACACTCGGAATGTGTCTAGAACAATATCTTTGAACGCAAACAATAAGAATAGGAGCAATCGTCATCATCCGATTTGGTATTGGTATAAGCCATGCATCCCTCCTCCACTCACAGTTGCAGAATCGATTGAAAGGTGTTATATGATGGGGACCTTCGAACGAAACTGTATTGTAGTAGACATAGTGTGTTGTGCTATTCCTGTAACCTAAAAAACAACTTCATTTGCCCAGCGCTTTTTCTTCACGGTTGTCGTTTTTCCGACAGGGTCCCTAACAACAGCGTCATTCTCAGCGAGGTATTAAGGGAGAAGGAGCGAGTGATAGGCGGAGGAGGTGCCTTTGCAGCGCGTGCGCACATGTGGCACTCTTCTTTGCGGGGATGCACTTTCATTCTTTGTACTGCCTTCAAATACGCCCTTCTCATGAAGGTGGAGGAATGGAGCGACTGAACCTGCAAAGAAAATTTAATATCATGTTTTTTTTCGGATGTTTTCATTTTCTGCTGCGCTATACCCTATTACCTATCTGCACCATGATACCACTTCTGTTACTGACCCCAAGAGTACGACCCCCCATGGACCAGCCCAACAGGTACGACCCCCCTGTCGAGGATTTCCTCGACCGATATTCACCCTGTGGAGGCTCGCTGGAGATCCGAGCCGACCAGCACAAGCCAGGTAAAACGCACCAAAACACTTAAAAAGGCCTTCTATTTCGATATGCATCTTACGAAGAGTTCAAAAGTTCAGATCGGAAGCAAAAACAAAATTAAGAAATGCTAAGAACTTCATGACATTGCAAATATGCATCCCAAAACACTGCTATTCTTAGTAGGAAGTCTTATTTCCTGCACACAAACGTTATTCCAGCTTCTCATTGGAAGGCTCGCCTGTGAGTACCGAGCCGCACCACCTCAACCAGGTAATGAAACTCTAACAAAAAATGCAAATGTTCTGATAGGCTTCTTTCGGTAGCTCCCTACAGATTTTTGCGAAGGCGTTTCGATAACTTTAATCCGTGAAATGAAATTTGAAATTAATTTAGAAATTAAATTTACTTCAAGTGAAATAGTCATAAAATTAAATTTCCTGATTATGGCGGGAGCGATAAAATTTATGTGAACAGTCCATTTGAATTAAGTTAGATTGAAAGTGTATGACTCGTTAGTGAGCACGGACGAACAGTAGTGCTGAGAGACTAAAGACTTGCTGATTCACAGTCCGCATCCTGGTCGAAGCGTTAAGCAAATGCATTCAGTCATCCTAAAGCCATACGCACTAGAATCATTGGAATTTTAAAAATATCCATCAAACTGGCGCTTTTTGCGATGGTTCGTGAATCAAATGCGGGCTCTCCTATCATAACGCTGTACTTCGTTGTGGCCTACCTAAACAAGCGTCACCTCCTTCGACTGTTTGTGAGACTCCCCACCCTGTATTTCTACTGGAGTTCCATTAATTGTGACCATCTGCAAAATGCCATACTATCTTCACAACACACGATGATTGCTGTATATGGGTTGTGTGTTTCCTCTCCTCTATGCACATCAAGGTGTGGGTGGAGATTGTAGTTGGGGACGGAGCCTGTGGAGGTTGGATGTGGTGCGCGTACATACATGGCGTCACTTGCGTGTTTTTCTAAGTATTGGGCCAAGTAAAAGTTTCTCTGATTTGTGATTTTCATATCGAATGTCCTATTTCTCCATACCTAACGTTTGAAGTATTATCGCAATTTGCAAATTATAATATACATAAATGGAATCGGTGCTGTCACAGTTGTTAGGGAGTTACAGAACCCTGCTCAGAAAGTGCCACCCCGAGCGAGCGCTGGTTTTCCCAGAGTCCATCAATGTATCATACTACTACTCACGGAATTGTATACTGAAGCGTTAGGACAGCTGTGATCACAAAATGGAAGCAAGTGATGTTTATTCAGGCTCAAATGGAGTGATGGCGTGCGAATATCGAGCAAACCCCGTTTCAGGTACTTTCATCTTGTGTAGAAATTGAGACTTTGTTTGAAACCCCTTTTCATGGCAACTACGGTCGTGGTGGGTCGTGGATACGAGTATCGCAAGCTCCAAGCTTTTCCTTTGCAACGATACTATACTACATACGTGTGGAAAGCAATCCGCGCTGCGGTACCTATTTGCACTCACATGGGCAGCGTTACCGGACTCCGCCCATATCGATTGCCTTTCCGGCACTTTTTCCGATTGAAAGCATCAGACTTACACTCTAATTACCGAGGAATAGCTTGTCTATATAAGCACTTATATGCGCCAAAAAGTAAGCGACGAAAATTTCCGCTCAATTGGAATCGCCCTCACCGTCGTAGTTTTTCTACCAACCTGATGCTGGATTGCTATATTCTGAAACTCGCGAACCGCTGAGCTGGCCTGGGTGTCTGTTATTGTCCATTCAGTAAAAGAACTTCTAATTATTTGAACAGGATGTAGAGAAACTCGTGTCAGTTCATCCGCTGGAGGTACCAGTGAGCCATTAACTTAAAATTGACCAATTTTTCGGATTTATATAGGTCATTGACCCAGTTTTCTGTGAAACTTTCGGTAATAGGAGTAATCAAGTGCCTATCATATTCATCTTAACTTTCTCGCTACTCCCCAATTTACAATTGCGGCGCAATTTTACCATCCTCAGTCGCGCTATCACGAGTTCTTCCTCGCCGGTACGTTGATGGTCGAAAGTCCTATAAAATGATACACTATGAAAGCAAGTTTAGCAGAGCTTATAGATTAACAATGCAGAAGATTTATTGTCTTCCACGAAAACCGAACATTGGACCATTTTCTTCACACCATTTATTGGGTTTCGGAGCAGTTCGGAGCGAAAATGACTTCGTTTCCGTCCAAGCCGCCATGAGCTCCTATAACGTCAAAAAAACCGTTCTCCAAGAAGTTCACAGCTCTGAATCGTACTCCCATTGTGATACTGTAAGATGGAAATCATTGCTGGGTAACATCTACCAGCGAACAATGAGTACCAATGTTGAATTTTTTTCTCGTCCTAATAGTGCGCATCCCCGGTATACGAAAACCGACCGGCCAATACATGCGAAGTGCTTCATCTGCCAAACACAGGGTGGCAAACAAAAGCGCACACTGTTACTTGCCATCTTTCAGTAACCCGACATATTTAATACACATCTTTGCTAAAAACTCAAATTGACCCTGCCCTAACCTAATATTAAAGAGCACAACCCATTTTCTCAATAAACCATGTGATAGCTTTCTGCGCCAACGAAATCACAAGAATTTGCTATGGGAACCCTTTGGCCGTTGAGCTCAAATGAGGTCTTTCGAACGAATCATGGCCCAAGTCCCGCGTCTATCTGAAACCATCATCTTGAGGGGTCTTGCACATTCGGAGCTGCTGCCTAGGAAGCAAAGTGTCAGTGAACCGGTTAATGTAATTTCATAACAGCGTCAGCTGGAACAATTACTGTAGGCCTTCTTCAGCTTAACAGTGACCGAAGATGATGTCATATTTTGAGGACCGTGAGGGCAGTGGAGGAGGGCCTGCTTCTACTTATAGGAGGACATGTAATGGATATCTCGCCGTAAACCTTTTATCATTAGCATCACTCTGTGGCGAAAAGTTTGATGACGTGTGCCACAAGCAAAGTGTCTCTTTTTTTGGCCATCCCTGTATATCGCACTATTGCCACACATTCACTGCATCCAACTCAGCTCCGAATATCCAGCGGATCTTATGGTTAGTCAAAATTTCTCCATGACAGTAGATTTGGCTAAAAAAATCCCTGTGAGGGTATTTCCAAAGCATGGAAACGGTTTAGCGCGAGTATCCGCACATAAGTTGCCAGCGAATAAGGTGATTCAAGGTTTTGGCCGCCCTGCGCATGTGGAGCGGACGACAAGGGTTTCCGTGCTAAACTAATGTGATATTCGCCCCATAGAATGAACGCCTCTGACCGGGGACTCTTCTTGCAAATTCCCAGTCATCAGAGCAAGTTCCGAATGAAACTTCGGCTGCGTATATCAGTGGGGCTCAGCAAACAAGCCGTTTAAATGGTGTCATTCCTCATTTTTTGTTAGATCATTCATTGCACTTTTCCATTTGTTGTCTACCTATTTGATTTAATCAATTATTGATGGATGGAAAATCGAATTTGTAAATTCCAGCTAATTTCAAATTCAATTCAATTAATTTCCTGATCAATTCAGATGGAAGATATCGAATTGAAGACGTTCCAGTGCCTACTCAGGAGCACCGAAAATAATCACATATCTTACGCAGTAGTACACTTAAACGACAAACGTGGCTCTTCCCCCCCGTTTCCTCATCGATCGAGCACTGCTTATATTATAATTAACAATTCACTTATAAAATATATGGAACAAGAACCATCCATCACTGATTGAAATCACCAAGAGCGTTTATATGGATAATTCCCGCCGTTGGAAGGCCACAATCGGATATGGCATGACAGATGTCGCTGCGAGAGAATGGCCTGGAATTCGCAGATATCCTGGCGCCTCCAGTTCCAAATGTATAAAATCGTGAAAAGAACTCATTACGAAATCGTGCCAAAAGAGGTCAGAATACGGGAAGCGAAATGATGAAGCAGGGCTGCATTCGGGGGAGTATATGCGCCACACGAAGCAGTTATGAACTTGGCTCCCAAGGGGCGAATGCGACGCTTTCACGGCGAAAAGTGCCCTGGTTGCTGAGCAGGACTTGCAAGCACTCCGCCCCGAAAGCGTTACGCCCACTACTTCAAATGTGGGCGAGCTGTCTGCTGTTGGCTTTTATTTTGGAAGATCAGCTCCCTTTTAGCGGCTATATCTTCCAACATGCATGGGCCTTATCATTCACACACTATGCTTGTTGGCATGATGGCGGCTATCAGTGGTGGGGGGGGGGGGGTTAACACGTCCAAACAACTTCTTTCTTTGTCGCCGCTCATTCATGGTCGAAAATGAAAGGGCAATTGAAGGGGTACTACATACTTTGCTTATTTTTGACGGATTTCTTCTTTTTTCGCCATTGGCGTACTATTGAGACCCCCACGTCCCCTCTAAACCCTTCCAAGATCTATCGTAATCGCTGCCTTTAAGATCCTTTTCTTATCAAGCCTAATTCTTCATTTTTCCCTTCAAAATATGTAGTTTCTAAATATATCGATTTTAGCTCATTTTCCCCACTTTCAGTTCCACTGAGCGCGATTCTTGCCGTTGCAATTGGAGTGCCTGTGGTGTTGGTCCTGTGTCTATTCGGTGCTGTATGGCTACAAGAAGCTGGGAATTTTGTGAAGATCGCCACAGAACTGTGTACAAAATTCCCCTAAAAATTTTATATTTTTCGAAACTCCTATCTTATTTCCCAAGAAAGATTCTTTAAAAAAACGCTTGTCGCTTGTCGCTTAGCTGATCTCCTCACCTTGTTTTATAGAGCTGAACTAATTGAATAAGCTTTTCCAGCTTTTATTCGATGTTGTCATGCCTTGCTAAACCCGTGCAGCTCATTTGTCTAGTACAGTATCCTGCTACTAGTACTTTTGGGTTTTCGTTTTATCGTCGATTTCTTGTTGAAGTGCTTCCATCCATACTTATTCCCATAAGGTCATGCTGCCAGTGTCTTGCTTGACCCCATGCAACCGGTTATAATTTCACTGACTTGTATTTGAGTTTTATAAATTTATACGCTACAATAAACTTTCTAAAACCAAGTTAGAAACCAACACATGAGGAATGGCAAATAGTGTCGTGACGGAGTGCTCCAAGGCTGGGAAGTGCTTCGGCAGGCGGAAGGCCCTCGTGGCAATCCGCGAAGAATCCTCGACGTGTTTTGGCTTGGATCTGGCGAAGTGATCGTATTTGGGATATTTGTGGTTTTTTCATTCTGTATCACCTGTATCACCTGTCGTCCCGTTGATCATCGAATTGCTCGAGCGGGCGCCAGCAACGTCTCCATTCGTCCCTGTCGCGTGCTAGGGTGGTCCAGTGGATCCTCCTTGCTCGAGGGACACGGAGTCCATCATTCCTTCGTTCAGAGCTTTCGTGAAGAAGTCTGACCATCGGGCCGGCGGTCGTCCAGGTGTTCGTTTGACGTCCCGAGGGATCCAGTCGGTAACCGCTCTGGTCCAACGGTCATCGCAAAATCGCATGACGTGTCCGGCCCACCTTATCTTCGATTCCTTGGCGAAAACGGCAGCGTCCCTGATCTTCGATCGTTGGCGTAGTTCGGCACTCCGGATTCCCCTCTGCACTTGCGTGTATAGGGTTACTCCTAGCATCGTCCTCTCGACAGCGCGTTGGATAACGCTGACCGCATGCTCGTCCTGCCTGCGCAGAGTCCAAGTCTCTGAGGCGTAGGTTAGGGCAGGAAGGACAGCGGAATCGAAGAGGTGGGCACGGAGCCGGATGTTCTTTCGTCTTCTTCACTACTCCCTCGATGTTCTTGTACGCTCCCCAAGCCGCTCGTTTCCTCCTGCTCAGCTCTGGAGCTAGATCGTTCATCATATTGATTTCCCGACCTAGGTACACGTAGCTGGAGCATTCGGTGATGTTCGTTCCGTTGAGCGTGAATGGGGCATCAGGAAACCAATCCGTTTCTCATAAACATCGTCTTCGTTAGGTTCAGCTGTAGACCAACCTTACCACAGGCGCAGTCGAAATCAGCCAGCATTCGCTCCGCTTGCTCGATGTTCGGCGTTATAAGAACGATGTCGTCAGCAAAACGAAGGTGGTGTAGTTGCCGGCCGTCGACCTTCACTCCCATGTCTTCCCATTCCAGTTGACGCATGACGTTCTCGAGAGCGGCGCTGAAGAGTTTGGGCGAGATGGTGTCGCCCTGTCGGACCCCTCTCTTGACGTCGATGATGACCTCCTTGTAGAATGGTGAGATTCTGGTCGTAAAGTTGCTGTAGAGCTCACGAAGAATCTTGATGTACTGAGTAGGGACGCCCTGGTTGCCCAAGGCTTCGATGACCGCTTCTGTCTCCACAGAGTCGAAGGCCTTCTTCAAGTCGATGAACGTGAGACAAAGCGGCATCTTGTACTCCGTGAAACTTCAATGAGTCTCGTAACCGTGTGGATATGGTCGATCGTGCTGAACCCTCTTCGGAACCCTGCTTGCTCGCATGGCTGTCCTTCATCTAGTATTCTGCCGATCCTGTTAAGGATGACTCGAGTGAATAGCTTGTAGATTACAGACAGCAGGCAGATTGGGCGATAGTTGCCAATGTCGTCCAAGTCTCCCTTCTTGTACAGCAACACGGTCCTGCTGGTTTTCCACGGAGTGGGTACCTTGCATTCCGACAGGTAGCGCGTGAAGAGTCGAGCCAGAGTTTCTGATGATAACTGGCGGTGCGTTCTTCAGATGTTCCGGTTTAACCCTGTCGAGACCGGGCGCTGTACAATTCTTCACCGACTTGATGGCGTGTCGGACTTCGGAAGAGAGAACTGAAGGGACAACGTATCCATCCTCTTGCGGTTGATAAGTAGGCAGATGGACATGGCTATCGAAGAGATCCGAGTAGAAGTCGTGGATGACTTTCTCCATTGCCCTTCGGGATGCAGTAACTGTTCCATCTGGACGTCGGAGGCAGGTCATCTTGGTCTTGTAGCTGGCAAGCTTCGGCGGGCATTGCGGATGCTCCTCCCAGCCTCTGCTGCTTCAGCTAATACTGCTGCTCTTCGCTCCTTGAGATCTTCCTTTATCGCCTCTCTGCATAGCTTCGCAAGCTCGGACGTGAGTTGGTGATTGCCTGCAGCTCGTGCGGCTCCACGCTGGCGTATCAGTTCGAGAGTTTCCGGAGACAGACGTCCCTTGGTGACTTTCAAACTCTCTGCCTTCTTGCCACAATCGTGAAGATGTTCAACGAGCCGATAGTACTCCTCGTCGATGTTTTCGATGACGGAATCCTCCCATAAGCTGACGAGGGAAGCGAAGTGGTCCCAGTTGATGACTGTCCTGGGCTTCGCTTCCTGAACTTTGCTGCTCTCTCAACACGCATCGAGAAGTGGAATCTTGCGCGGAGGAGACGATGGTCCGATCCCGTGTAGAACTTGGAACAACAGCGACGTCGGTCAGGCAAAACCTTCGATTGAAGATGATGTGGTCTATCTCGTTATGGAACTGTCCATCAGGTGACTCCCAAGTCCAACGAAGGTGAGAGGGCTTCTGGAACTGCGAGTTACCATGGATGGTGTTGGTCGACATGATAAACTCAGACAGTCTTTCGCCCTGCTCATTCCAATCCATTCCGTGAGTACCGATGTGAAGTTCTTCAGCCGTTCTTCTTGGGCCAATCTTAGCGTTGAAGTCGCCGACGATGACCTTGAAGAAGGTATGATCTTCCTGTAGAACTTCTAGTGAATTTCATTTGTGGATATTTGTGATATTGCCTTTTGTTAGTCGTGATAGTTTCAATAATCTAGATGGAGAACATATCTCGAAACGAAAACCTTACTTTGCTATTTGGAGCTTCGCCGCTCCAACAATTCCAGGTCGCCTGTCCCCTCCATTGCCGCCCCTCCCCCTTTCGTCTCTCCACAGTGCACACCACCTTTTCCCGCTGCTCATTTTGAAGGAATTCTGAGGCCGAGTTGAAGAATGTGAAGGATCAGTATCGGTGATACGTGACATGGTTCTGACATCACCATCCACCAGCCAGTAGGAAAGCGGTCTCGAGGGAGGGGACGGGAGACGGGAGAGATCGCATTGATGATAAAAATCGTTGACTGATCGTACTAGCCGAGATTTCTTCGACCCTGTAAGGCTTCTACCTACATAGTAAGGTGGCAATGTGCATGCTGAAGGAATACTGGTAAAAGTTGCAGAAGGTGATGCGTTACGTACCAACCATGGAAGCCTCCGGGCATTCAAAGTCGCCGTGGAGTAGTGGTAGTGCTCTCGAAATTTGCACACCAACGGGAAGAGAACTTATGACCTCCCGGGTGAAGAGCGAGGGCACTACCACTACTCCGCGGCGACTCTGAAAGCCTGGGGTCCAGCACGGTTCATATGCAATGCTTTACTTTAGCCAACTTTGACTGCTCACAACTTCCTTGGCAGGTTCATTTTGCAGTTTTAGTTTCCATATTTGTAATCAGCGTTTGAAGCTCTATCGATATATCTGGGTCTCAATTCAAAGTTCCATGGAGAAGTTGAACGCCGCCCTGCTAACAAGGGAAGGATGGTAGGTCGAAGTGGCCGTTTGAAATGAAATGTATACCTCCTGATGCGTCTCCAGACGCTGATTCCAAATCTGCCTTCCAAATCTGCTAAACGACTCTCCGAACGGAGTTATGAAGCGTAATAGCTCAGTGGTGATGGTCCGGGGTGGCAGGTAAAAGCTCGTAGGATCGGTTCCTTTGCAAGTTTGTTGCTTTGCTTTTGTCCGCAACACTTCTAGAGACAAAAGCAAAGCAACCAACTTGCAAAGGAACCGATCCTACGAGCTTTTACCTGCCACCCCGGACCATCACCACTGAGCTATTACGCTTCATAACTCCGTTCGGAGAGTCGTTTAGCAGATTTGGAAGGCAGATTTGGAATCAGCGTCTGGAGACGCATCAGGTGGTATACATTTCATTTTATACGGCCACTTCGACCTACCATCCTTTCCTTGTAAGTGCGGTATATTGAATGTGAAAAAAAAACAACAAAGATAAACTTAAAAAAACAACATAACAACCAAAAGCAGAGAAAACGAAGCAAAACTAAGGGAAAATGGCAACTTAATTATCAAGTGGAGAAATCCTCTGCAAGCACTGTTTTTTTTTGCTAAAACTTCGAAAGCTTTCAGAGAAAAATGCATGACATATTCCCGTTGTATTTTATCAAGTAGAGCTACTCTGATTGAAAAGTATCTAGCTCGGACCTGAGTTTTAACTGTCGGACACCTAATTTTCACTACACAGCCGCGCGTTCTAGACTGATTTCAGAATAAAAAAGTCATCCAAGTTGACCGAAGCCTTATTGGTAAGGATTTTGAATGCCATGACAAGGTCGTTAATCTTTCTTAAACGAATACGCTAGAAAGTGAGTGAATACGACGACGTGAGACACTACCTGGAATCTGATAGCCCAGACCAGTGCATCGTATAGCCAACTTGCGTGTAAAACTGTTTTGAACACCTACCAGTAGGGATACATCTATTTTTCTTGTGAGGAGAGAGAAATAGCTGTTCC